TATGTGCTGAAGGGAACCTTTGTGTGCCAGGACCTTTTTGTGCTATTCTCATTCTTAGAAGGTCTCATTTCAGTGGCCAGAACTAGGCCAAGAGGATCTCTTTGGCAAGTGATAGTCAGCCTATCACTGGTTTCCTCTGTGCTTTTTCCTTAGTACCTGAAATTTGTAACAAGATCTGAATTACGTTTTTGCACTTGCAATCTGTACAGTTGTTTTTATTTTTCTCCAAAGACCAGTATGTGTCCTGAGGAGATGGGGCTACATGCTATGAATATTAAAAGCAATCAGTGACTACCTAAACAGGACTAAGCTCTTTAGAAAGTCAAACAGACTATTTGTGGCCTTTAGATAAAGCTCCAAAGGTCAGGCCCTCTCAGCTCAGAGCCTGTCGAAATAGATAAGGCTGTGCATCCAGGAATGTTATGAATTAGCCGCTGCTCCTGCGCTTGAACCTCTTAGGGACTGACTGTTCAGCTGGGGGATATCAGCTTCAATGGCATCTATCCATAATGTGCCCTTATCTGAAATCTATAAGGCTGCTGTGTGGAGGTTCACTTCATACCTTTACAGATCACTGTTGTCTCAATACAGCATCAAGAGCAGTTGCAGGTTTCCAAAGGGCTTTGCTTCAGTCTTTGCTGAATCCTCTGGGGCGCTTAGTCTCCCTCCTCCTCAAGCCCTCCTGCTGGTTTCCTTTAGCAGGCTGTCCTCTATGGAGCCGTACCGATTTTGTCTCCTCCCCTTTACTCAGGAGGCCAACTCTGCATGCAGGTTTTCACAGTCAGTGGTTGAGTGCGGCGCTATAGAAGAATGAGCTGTTTATATGGGACTGTATTGCAGGCAGGCTTTGGAGACCCCTGCGCCCCCTTGGCTGCCAACTGCTACTCAGAACATGATGCTGCAAGAAAGTTGTTCCTGTGCTGTGTTTTGGGAAGCAGGAATTCCTAGCCGGCTAAGTAGCTTTACAGAACAGTGTAAGCTGTGGGCTCATGTGATGTGATTGTGCAGGCAGCAGCCTGCGGCTTGGTATCCAGAAGCCAGAGGAACAGGTCATGCATGTCTTGCATGGAATTTGAATCTTATGCTCCCTCCTTCAACTGCCCAGTTTAGCACTTCCCTGCCCCAGATCCTGCTGTCCGTGTCTGGCCGAGGATGAGTGTAGTGGGCGCTGTCTGCTAGCATCAGGAACGAGATGGTTATGGATGCCTACATTTCTCAGGATCGATGTTGATGGTATAACACCTCACCAAGATACATTGGGCAGTTGCAGCTCAGATGAAACTGGCTCCAGTTCCTAGCTCTATTCAGATCCCTTTTTTACTGTCTTCACAGGGTAAAGGAGCCCCATGGCAGCTGGATTTCCCTGCCAGCAGTCACCACCAGCCCTGTGCAGAGCAGTTTCCCTGCTGGTGTATTTCCTCTTGGAAGACACCTTAAGCAGCCACCTTGCCCTGAACCATCCACAAAAGGGGCACCGTCTCTGCCCCCCGCCCCCCCCAGCTCTGTCACATCAGAGGTACAGCCTCAAATAAAAGTTACGGTGCACCAATTGCTATGTCCAGCTCTGTGACTCTTCATACTCAGTTCACCTTTGAACAGTTGTCATTGCGGCTGAACGGACTGGAACTTAGTTAATGAAAGGTTAGTTTTTGTCAAGTGGTTTTGTGGTAGGGGGTGGATCCTGCAGCAAATTCCATGGCTGTGGAATCACTGAGCATACAGGGCTGTGCCTATGAGAAAATTAGAGCTTTGTTTTATTTTTATTTTCCCCTAATGGCATCAAGAGACTTGCTGAACAAAGTGTTCCTTTTTAGGAGCGCGTGTGCCAACTGCAGTGGACATGACTAATGCTTCAAACTCTTTCAGCCACGCTCCTCTTGCCCCAGTTGCTATCAGCTATGAGAGTAGAAATCGATACCCAGGAGACTGTGTTGTTACTGGCTATTCCTGCT